CAGAGAGAGAGAGAGAGAGAGAGAGAGAGAGAGAGAAAGCAGATCAGAGAGAGAGAGAAAGAGAGAGAGAGAGAGAGAGAGAGATTAACCTCATCAAAGCTTTTTCTTCTCCACTTCAACTACTTGTGAAAAAAACATAAAGGGAAGTCGCAGATGGGTGGTGGGAACTCAATAAGCTTCCAGATTAAAGCCCAAATGGAAGACCAATGTTATTCTCAAAATCAATCCAGATCAGCGAGTCCTCATCCGCTAAAATTGGAATGACACATAGAAGATTAGCATGGACCCTGTGCAAGGATGGCACACATAAATCGATACAAGGTAAAGAAAAAAAAAAAAGAAAAAAAAAATCCAGATCAACGACCAAATTCTTATTTGCAGACGTCAAGGGCAGATGCACACAAGAACATGATTGAAAGCCTGCAAGATCCAGCAGATGGGAAATGAGCTGAAAAGTAACATATAGCAAGACTTAATTCCTTTCAAGTGGACTTAAGCCCCCCTGCCCTATATGCATCTAAGCCCCCCCTGCCCCCCTCGTTCCAAGCCCTCGTCAGCCTTCCAGCCAGCTTCAGAGCTGAAAATCAACTGGGCCAAAGCGAAAGCAACACATGGCAAGTTCCTTTGATGTGTTTAGGGATCCACCCCCTCCCACCCCTCCTTGAGGAGTTGTGTATACCCTAAAAGGAAACCTCTGGAGGGGTGGGAGAGGGCTTGCATCCAGAACGAAGTAGCTTCTGTTCATTCCTATGAGGAGGGGCGGGAGGGCATGGAGCCCTAAACCTTAAAACCCGAAGCACGTGCAGAGAAGATAACAGATTCTGTCAGGTAACAGAAAGCCACGCACTCCTCTTAGGGGAAGGGATGGAGTGGGGGGAGGTGTTGGGGGGGGGGGGGGGGGGGGGGGGGGGGGAAGAAGTGGTTGCAAGGTACACGAGCAATGCACACGCAATTCAGTGTGAGAAAGTGCTCGGCCATAAATGAAATGAAACGTGCAGGGCAAAGCCCGATTTAGGCACGAATGCACGAGTTTCCATAACCTTTACTCCAAGTTATAGAGAGAATTAACAACAGACTGCGCCTATGTATTTACAATTTCATAGACCTATACATGTCATCTAGTTGTGGTGTGGATTAGAGATCAAAAAAATGGGTCCTTTTTTTGGGTAGATAAAGAACTTCAGAAGCACAACGTGACACAACCCCTAGGAGCTGCCTCGATACAACCCCCTTTGGAATGTATTTCTTGGGAGGAATACACATGCTACACTCACCAGATGATGCCCTCAAAGATGTTTGCCACTGTGAATGACGACTGCGCAAACACAAGGAAAAGAATCATGTGCGTCCATGCGAACTGCCCAAATTGATACTGGTACATGCCTTTCTTGAGGCTCAAAATGAACAGAACAAAACCTGCACGTCAGAGAAATGTCCCCAGGAGCCCAGAGCACCCAACCCAACGACCGTTAGGAGAAAAAAGAGAGTCATAACTACCGTCTTCACCCGAATAGAACGCCTACCGTCTTCACCCGAATAGAACGCCCGGTCATTATCACTGTATCTAGACTGAAAGTTGCACCCAATACAGCTATAATGACCGGGCGTTCTATTCGGATGAAGACGGTAGCAGTTACAAGACTCAGAGAAGGAGGCAGCAAGAAGGAACACAGCACAGCCAACTGCAGCCAAGCACAGAACCAGAGGAGAGCGGGGGGTCGATCGGGCAAGTCTCTGAAATAAAGGGTGTTAGTGTCGGGTAGGCTGTGGTGCCCTCAGGAATGGAACCAGTAGAGAAAGCTGTCGGAGTGGAGGACCCAGAAGTGAAAACCGCATCAGCGAGTGAAAACTGCAGCAGTGGTTCTCTGCACTGGAATTGCGCCCGAGCAAACGACGGCCGTGGAAACTGCAGCAGAGGAGACTGCAGCAATGGAAACCACAGGTCTTTTTGTCGCTGTCGTCTTTCCCCGAACACAATGCACCCTCATTATGGCTGTACCGGACAGGAAAGATAGCCTGTATACATTCGTTATCAAGGTGTGTTGTATTTGGGGGAAGAGAGTAGCAAATTCCCAAACAAGGGCGAGACGAGAGCTTCATGGAGGCAAGGGAAAAAATTGGATCACAGAGGGACCATCTCAGCATGCATCTATCAAAACCACTTTCAACTTTGTGTCACCTTTTTTTTTTTTCTTCTTTTTTTCATTTGAAGTAGCAAGGAACAAAGAGCACATTTGGGCAAAAAATGTGGAAAAGATAGTAGAAAGGAAGGCCAGAAGGCTAGAAGAACAGAAAGCACAATGAATCGAATGGAAGTTATGAAACGTCTTTCTTTGTTCGCTCTCCCCCCCCCCCTCCTCCCTCTCTCGAACCCCTTCGATTCTTTCATCTCTTATTTTGCACACGCTGCAAGGTTCCCCACACTGCCCAATCAGCCATCGTTGGAAAGGGGAGAACAAAAAATTGGGGGGTTGTGATGAATTGTTTCATTTTGCCAGCAACTCCAGACAGTCTGCAGCGGTCCTCACCAATCAATCATGCTTTTAGCCGTAGCTTCATTACATTGATCGTAAATTGGCATTGACCCACAAAAATAAAAGTACCCTAACCTGCCCATTGCATATACAGGACTTTTTGAACTGTTCAGTTCACAGTGCTTCACACGACCCTTCTTAGCAGGCACGAAAGCTCCCAGCAAAAAAAGGGGGGGGGGAAATAGCACTGTCACAAGACTCACAACTAAGAAATAGTACTACGGTCGAGAAACATAAGTCGGAACCAACCCACGGCACCTCTGGTAGCCTCAACCACCTCCCCTCTACTGAAAAAACCTACCAGGACTGTTGAACGGACTCTTTTCTACAAAACTGATGTAATTGTACACGCAAGAGGAGTTAATAGGAGGAGAAATTCACTGAACGAGGGTCTCAACTGCATCATCTCTATATGTTGCTTTCAACTGAGGGATAATTATGTATAAAGGGGTGCAAACAAAACGAGCTTTCTAATGAAAGTTCATTTGCAATAGCACATCGGTTTTGCAGGACGCTCATTCCAACCCCTTCATAAAATTCCACATTGCCAAAGAAACAGCCGATACCTCAACAAGTGAGAAACCTCAAACAACACCGTGTGGACCACGGCAGTCAATCAACGCCACTCCTTGCATACTTGACATACTTGCAAGCGGACGCCGTCCGGGCGGTTCCGCACGTGCGGCAGACCGCCGGACCGGACCTGCACAGCGCATGAATGTGCGCCCGACGACCAGTTACGCCCCCCCCCCCCCCCCCAAAAAAAAAAAACAGCCCCGTCCGGTCCGGTCCGGGTCCGTCCGGTTCGGGGGGAGGGTGCCGCACGCGGCAAAGCGGACCGGACCGGACGCTCGTCCGGTCCATCTGCTTGCAAGTATGATACTTAATACTTATGCTTCCAAAAAAGCTGTCTGATGTTCGATGCGCCTCAACAGCACCCTCGTCATCTCTGACAAAATTTGATGACAATTTTTTATGACGAAGTTCTTAGCCTTTTTTTCCTGAGAAGAGAAGAGGGAGAGGGTGGTCATCGGAAAAACTGACCTGAAATGTACATGAAGTAGGATATGATCATGTGGTAGCGTATCGCATTGACAAACATCCTCGATAGCAGCCGGTCAGCGGATATCGACTCTGTCAATTGTTTCTTCAGAAATCGCCCATAGACAAAAGCCATGGCCGTAACGAAAAACCACCTGGGGGCAATCCACCAATATCAAATCGAACCAAAACTTCCGAAAGTCATATTCAACTCTTTTACATGCGTCTCTTCATGGTGGTGCCATCGCAAAGTACCTTCTTGCATTCCTGAGGTCCTTTGCTCGACACCTAGACAGTCATTTGCAGCCAAGACCAAGTCGAGCATTGCACTGTGTCTCATTGGTGACATACAGGTAGGTTATTAATCCAGCGTGTAATCTCACAGATGGAATCTATATCCAGTTTGTAATCACACAAATAGTGACAGACTAAGTAATCAATGCTGGTCAGGGTTCCTTCGGCCCGACGAAAGGAAAGCATGAGCGTGTACTACGTACGATGTATTCAATTCTGACTTGCAGGAGGAACAGGAACCGGACTGACGCTCCCCAGAATGGATATGGGTCCAGGGCCAGAAGGACCTGCTTAAAAAAAAAAAGAAAAAAAGAAAAAAAAAAAAAAAGAAAGAAAGAAAGAAAGAAAGAAAGTGACACACTATATCCACATCACTACGCCTCGGGCGACTTCACAACCAAAATTGTGACAGACAATTTCATCGGGCTTGCACTCAGTTATCAGCACGCTACCCCTTGGCAGTCTAGATGCATTTGAGCAAAAAGTCCTGAGGGACATCACTTTGCGAAAAGATAGTGGAAGTGTTAACAGAACTGATGAACATCTACTTTACCCAAACCAACCTAACTGTCTCCTTCGAACTCCGACAATAACAGCAACAGACCTGATGTGTATGTCTACGTGCATGTGCGTGCATGTGTGTGGATGTGCATGCATCTGGGCATGATTATGAAGGAAAGAGAGAGAGACATGTATGGATCACATCGCAGGCAGCAAGCAAGCAACACAGAGAGAGACAGAGAGAGAGAGAGAGAGAGAGAGAGAGAGAGAGAGAGAGAGAGAGAGAGAGAGAGAGAGAGAGAATCAGAGAGAGAAAGCAAGAGAGAGAGAGAGAGTAGGGGCCGTTTGACTTCTGCAATCGACAAGGAAAAAGCTTCTTCAGATAGCCGCCTGCGGTGGTTATGTGGTTAGGCCCATCAACAGCAGCAGACGGATGCAGTTGCTCGCTGAAACGATCGTTAAGCAAATCAAACGCATCCCTTCACCCGAATACAACACCCCGTCATTATAGCTGTAATCGAGGCAACTGTCAGTCTAGATGCAGCGATAATGACCGGGAGTCCAATTTGTGTGAAGACGGTAGTGTAGCATAAGTAATCTCCTGCCAATTGTTTATGAAACCCATCAGCAGGCGTCCGTTCTGTTACATTTCTACTTCCATATGGTCACCATTGCCCGTCAACATTACACCCTCATTCCCTCGAGAAAAAAACGTAGCGATGCACAACGCACAACCACCCCTTCCCCCCTTCCCCCCGCCTTTTACATGACAAAGAATCTGCAATGGAGAAGGCAAACAAGTGTGGCCACATGCAAGATAGATTACGAAAAACAATTAGGACCATGCACATATCACACGGGCGAAATCTTCCCTTTCTTAAGAGAAACAACACTTCTTCACTCTAAATATTTTTTTTTAACTAATTCGAAGAACATGACTTCACAATCCACATGACAGAGAACTGCGACGAATGTCATCCAAAGTCAAATTTTGCCATCAGTTTTGGAGCATCAAATTTCCCCACCCACTGAGACCTGGAGATATCTTATTGGGGTTTGGCCCAGGTTTCATACCTGCTGACCGCCGACCCTGACCCCGACCGCCAGCTGTTTTGCAGCTGACTACTAGTAGTAGGGGCGACCGGTCGGTCGGCGGTCTGCCGACCAGTCAGAAAACAGCCATCCACTGATTTTTTTCAAATCTGAGTTGGGGGCTGCACAGCGCTTGCTGAATACAGCCCAAGTCCGCTGAGCAACATTTCGGGAAGAGAAATGGGGGCGGGCGGGGGTATGGGGCGTATGGGGGGTATAGGGGTGNTTTTCCCGTCGATACCTTTTGTGGGTCTTTTGGCTAATCAGATCAAGTGTAGTATCTGTTCCTATCAGAGTTTAATCTGATCCGTGGTCCACCTGGCCAAGTGCATGGTATCTGTTATCCTATCCGTGGTCCATCCGGCCACAGCGATAATAAACCAAGGGTTGTGCTCCACTGCCGATTCTTTGAGGAATTCCTGCTTGGTTGGAGAATGGCGGGCTCCACTGTGGTTTCCACATTTTTTTCGCTATCAGGAAGTTAGCCACTTATTTTTGAAAACTGAAGTTAGTCCTGTGTTGGCCGTGTTCCTCTGCCGAAACGGGGGTTCGACCGTTCATCTCCAGCGGGTCCAATCTCGCCATTTGAAAGCCGCGGCGGGTCCAATCCCGCCATTTGAAAGCCGCGGCGGGTCCAATCCCGTCATTTGAAAGCCGCAACTTTGCCTATTTTTCGTGCTCAGAAGAATTGTTGAATTTATTTTCTCTTGCGCAGGGGCCATGCTAATATTCTCTGTATTGTTCCAATTTCAACGGATGTCCCAAAGGACAATTGTCGAAAATTTCTAAAAATTTGAGGGTCCGTAGATTAGCGTTTAGGCCATGATCTTTCAAGGAAAAATATCAGAAACAAGAAATAAAATCATTTTAACGGTGAAATAATCACCGCGCAGGCGCATTTTTATTTTTTTTACGCAAATTCCATGTTTGCCATTCACCTGGTTTTCCACTCTGTGCTACGGTTACCCCTAGCGAAAAGGTGCTACTAGCGAAAAGGTGTAGGAGTTCTTTTGCGTCGGTTTAAGTTAGGACTGCGCTGCACGGTATCGCTGGCCAAGAAATTTCTCAGGCTGGCGCGTTCCTGCAGATGGTCCAGCCAACAGTGAAGGTGTTTTCCGGGCATCCCAACGGCTCCACTGGCGTAGAAGTGTACTGCCGGGTTCAAGGTAGGAAGGGAATGAATCATCCACTATAACATCACCGCCTGCTTTTGCAGTTTTTTCTTTCTGGCAGTTGCATTGAGTACAGGGCCGATTCCGGCTGTCGCACAGCCTCTTGGGTAGATCCGCCACTGGACCTTGGGAAGGTCCAGTTTTCGGCCAGCGGACCGTGCCGCCCCGACGGGTTCTCACAGGGCGGGGGAGGCCACGGAGAGGGGAGGGGAACTCTTCATTTTTTTTATTTTGGCTAATTCAATCACCTCTCAATTCCAGACAGGACGGCCTTTCAGGCCTTTCTTTAATTGTCACTATAGTATTATGGGGAACCCCGTAGCAGCCACATCTGCGTTCAAGCCTCCAACGAGGGAACATGCGGGAGCTGCACCCACCAGCAGGTGAGCGATACTGGCCAGGGGTCAGGTGGTAGCAACAGGACCGAGCTTCTTTGATGGGCCGGTCGCTGTTCCCGCCCTCCGGTCCCCTCCCCCTACGAACATCAGCAGTCACTGCTCAATGCCGCTCGGGGGAACCAACGGCCTATCTCCAGGTGGCGGGCGCCAAGCTTGCCCAGGAAGGTACATGAACCCAAGAGGGTGTGCGGCGATGAGAAACTATCCAAAACTTCATTTTCTACAGTGATGTGGTGAGCCCCTTTGTTACCGCCCTCTGGAGTAGTCTTCGCAGGGCCTGAGTATTTTTGATTTTTGACCTAGCGCTACCTGGCTCCCGCGTCGCGACAGGTCCGCGACGAAGAGGGAGCTGACCGACGACCATTGCCGAGGGGAGTAGAACAGCACGATGTTGCAACGAGGAAGCACGGGAACCGCCGCAGGGAAGGTGCAATCACCGAGGGAGGCAAGCTAAGACAATCGGGAGACGGTCGCGGGGTCTCGTTAAGGGGGAGAAAGGTTAGCGAGATGGCGAAGGTGCTGATAGGGTGAGGGATTCGCATGCAACAAGCAATTGCTGAGCGAGTGAAGCAACCCTCACAGAGAGGACAAGCGCAAGGGCATAGACAAGAAGCGGGAAGTGTGAGGAGTATCAATCGAAATCGAACTCAAACAGATTGGAAATGAACATCTCTGAGGGGCATGGGTTTTTATGACGAAGAAACGAAGACGGTTGGCAGTCGCGGTAGAGGGACGGTAGCAAGGGAACGGATCGGAACTGAATCGTCGGAGGACGGCCGTGTGGAGTGAGGACTGAGTTCATGAAGGAAGGAGGCAGAGCCGTCATAGCGTCGGGGTAGCGAAAGATTCAACACAGGTGCATCCCCCACAGGGGCCCCGGATGAGATTACCACTCGGCGGAGGGGGGGCAAGGTCAACAGCAAAAGGGGGGCTAGAGCCCTGCGGGTAAACGAGCATAACCCTATCCCTGTCTCTTATACACATCTAGATGTGTATAAGAGACAGGTTGAATGCAATGCACGAAGTCGAGAATGCAAGCCGGAAACAGACAAACGCTCCTGAGGATGCGACGAGCGTTCGCCGTCCCAGCCTTCAGACCCATTCACCAAATTGCGATTGAGCACTCACTCGATAGCCGAGCGGAGGGCTGTTGAATTGCAACATCCATCCCCTCTAATGGGGTCTGGAGGGAGAAAAACAAAGCTATGTTTGCAGGGGTCCCCTGTGTGTATAAGCCTTAGATAGAAAAGTAGTGGTAGGCCTGTCTCTTATACACATCTAGATGTGTATAAGAGACAGCACCGGTACGTGCCGACCAGTCAAGGGGCGCCGTCTATCGGGGTATGCAACACTGCTCTGGCACTAATTACAAACAGCCTAATCAGAAGAACACCAGATTTTTCCATCAAGACCTGCAGACATTTGATTAGGGCCTGGGCCGACATGCGCAAAACAGACAGTTCACAAGTCAGCAGCGAGGACTTAAAGGGAGGGTCTTTGAAAGAAGGGCTGCTGAGCTTACCAGTTGATGAACCGAAAACCTGGAAGCTGCTTTTCTCTCTGAGCAGCCCTTGCCAAGGAGAATAATTCATGTGCCATGAATAGTTGTATAATGACAACCATCAACCAGATATAGACATGGCCCATGTACAAGACGAAAATAAACCCTCCAATCATCCAAATGGACGACAGCACGCGGGTCCGCATTTTCCTATACTTGTCCCGTGCGTACAGCAAGAGCTCCACTGGTTTCTTGCCATGGTCATCGTCCGCCTCCTCTTCGGCATTCTGGACCACAGCAGAAAAGAGACCGCAACATTCGGCGAATAGCCGCAAAATGGAGTGCACCACAACCCAAGATGCACATCAAAACCCCGAAAACACCTACACAACCACCTGAAATTGCTGAATGCAAGAAATTTGTAAATGTGTTACTTGAGTTTTCTTATCAGTTTGTTGTACGATCCTCGATTCTACCTTCTTCGCCCTAATACAACCTACGGTCATTATAGCTGTATTTGGCATACCCCTTTCCATCTAAATACAGCAATAATGACCGTATGTTGTCTTGGGGTGAAAGATGTAGGTGAGAATATACCTGGAAAGGGGTCAGGAGGGGGGGCGGGGGGTGAACACATAAAAGTCCGAGAGCTTGCAGCTTGTAGGCTGTGTTACCAGCCGGGCGGCCCGGGTTGCCTCAGATTGGCCCAGGTGGCCTGAAAGGGTCAGGTCTGGGCGTAGTCCCGGTCACGGTCCCGGGGAGTCCCAGCGCCTTGACAGGCGTGTCTGGATCAGCAGGCAGAAGGACGCCGATATGTAGCATCCAGGAATTTGACGTCCTGGTGCATGTCTGTAGAGAGAGAAATGTGAACCGATTAGAAGGTTGCCGATCTGAGGAAACCCGAGGAGTGGGGGGACGAGGGTCAGCGGGAGGTGGGGAGGAAGAAGGGGCTAGAATTCCAAAAATAAAACCCGGCCTCAGGCCAGGATGTTGTGTGGTCTGAGCAGTCAGAACCCAGCCTTACCTTCCAATTCGGTGATAGGTCACCTATGGTGGGGCATAAACAGTTTTAAAGGGGTTCAAACCTTAAAGGGGTACATCTCAAGATTCTCAACTCTTATTTTCTTTTTTTTTTGAATCTCGAAATCAGTGAGGAATTTCAAGGAGACCCTCAGCCAAATTTGACTGGATTACAATTTTACGCAGCATTTTCCAATTCGGGGGAGAGGAGGGGGGGGGGGGGGGGGGGGGGGGGGGGGGGGGGGATTTTTTATTTTCTTTAATTTTTTTTCCTTTTTTTTTCCTTTTTTTCTTCTTACCTTTTCATTCTCTATGCCATTTTCAAAATTCTTGACATAATCCAAGAAAAAAACAAAAACGAAAATATATATATCGTCAAATAGAACTGCCCGGTAAACCGTAGGCAGAGAGGGAGAAGAGGACAACAAACGAGGGGCTGTGACAAACTGTTTCGTATATATATATATTTTCTGGGTATCGCCTTGATCCCCATGACATCCCAATATACAGATGCTGCCCATGCTACAGTCCAAATCCGGACCCCACTGATCCCATTTGCCTACTGTATGATTTTCATCATTTTCGGTACAGTATAAACTCCAATCCTTTTCTTAGAACCACGTTTTCCACACACCGACATGTAAAATCCTTCCAAGGGTATCTTTAGCTTTCCAAGCCAAAAAAAAAGACACGAGAAAAAAAGATCCCAGGGTAAAACATCAAAATATCAGCATCAAGCACCTATATAAGAACTTCCCCTGCAGCTTCACCAAACGCTGTATAACCCATCTCATTCATTTTCTTCCCTTCTACTCTTTTCTTTTTTATCTTTATTATTTTCATCACGTTTTCTTCAAGGTCAAAATTGTAAGAATCCCACGCTCTCTCTCTCTCTCTCTCTCTCTCTCTCTCTCTCTCTCTCTCTCTCTCT